GAACGGGGGTGTGGGGGGCAGGAGGAGGATTGAGGTGGTGGGGACGCGTGAGTCATCAAGTCCAGTTCCCTGCCCAAGGCAGGACCAATCCCAACTAAATCATCCCAGCCAGGGCTTTGTCAAGCTGAGACTTAAAAACCTCTAGGGATGCAGATTCCACCCCCGCCCTAGGGAACCCGTCCCAGTGCTTCACCACCCTCCTAGTGAAATAGTTTTTCCTAATATCCAACCTAGACCTCCCCCACTGTAACTTTGATAAATGCAAAGTAATGCACCTGGATAAATATCATCCCAACAATCCACACAAAAATGAGGGGGGGGGGGGGTCTAAAATAGCTGTTACCACTCAAGAAAGAGAGCTTGGAATCCTTGTGTCTAGTTCCCCGAAAACATCTGCTCAGCGTGTGTGCAGTGGCAGCCTGCAAACTGGAAAGCTATCCGAATATTGGGAATCATTGGGAAAGGAATAGATCAGGGGTGGGAAACCTGAGGCCTGGGAGCCAGATGCGGCCCCTGGTTTGCCTGGATTCAGCCTGCGAGGCTCAGGATCCCTCCCCAGTATTGGGGAGCCTACGCTAGTGCTCCAGCCTCCCCCAGTCCCGCTGCCTCTCCTGCGGAGCCAGAGCAAACAAGGCTGAGCCCCCTAGGCTCTGGTGTGGGAGGGCAATGTGGGGAGTGTCTTTCTCCTTCTCAGAGGCCACCTCAATGAGGGCTCTTTTGTTTTTTGCTTCTCACTTATGTGCGTTCCCCGACTGCTTTTTCTGTGGGTCAGAGGCCCCTGACCCAAAAAAGGTTTCCCCCTGAATAAATAAGACAAAATACCATATTGCCTCTCTCTATAAAGTCATTGTGTGCCCACATCTTGAATACTGCATGCAGACCTCCCCATCTAAAAAAGATCTATTGGATTTGGAAAAGGAACAGAAAGGGCAACAGAAGCGATTAGGGGTAAGGAACAGCTTCCCTAGGAGGGGAGATTAACAAGGCTGGAACTTTTCAGTTTGGAAAAGAAATGTCTACAGGGTGGGGAAGAGATGTTAGAGGTCTAGAAAATCATGCATGGTGTGGAAAAATAAAATGAGGAACTGTTATTTCTACCCGCACTAACCCAAGAAGCTCGCCCAGTGCAATTTATAGGCAGCACATTTAAAACAAAACACGTTATTACCGCTCAGACAACTTGTGGAACTCTTTGCCAGGGGATGGTGGAAAGGCCCAAAGTTCAAGGGGGATAGGTCCCTCAGTGGCTACTAGCCAGGATGGGCAGGGATGGTGTCCCTAGCTTGTTTGCCGGAGCTGGGAATGGGCGACGGGGGATGGATCATGATGACTGACTCTTCTGTTGATGCCTTCGGAAGCACCTGGCATTGGCTGCTATTGGAAGACTGGGCTTGATGGACCATTGGTCTGACCCAGTGTGGCCATTCTGACATTCTTATGGAATCCAAATCTGTCTACCCCCAGCTGTAACCACTACACCCTACTCCCCTCCCAGAGCTGAAATAGAGCCCAGGAGCCCCCCTCAATTTGCTGCTTGGCTTGTATTGAGCAGGCTCAGTAACACGGTTGAATCTGCTCTCCTCAGTCCATTGGAGTCCCCCCCACCATGCCCCTTGTCATCTGGGGGGTCAATGGGACCAAACCCAAGTGGGCAGAACACCAGCCCCTGAACCAGACTAGCTGGCTGTCACAGGGAGCTGCAGTCGGTGCCCAGGTGGGGGAGCAGCCTGAGAGAAGGGCAGGGGGATCCCTGGTGGGGGAGGCAGGGGGATCCCTGGTGG